AGAGGCTTTTTGGATCAATGCCAAAAGCCCTACAATGAATAGCAGGGACGAATGCCCGGAGATCATACGCGACCTGATCCTGTACGTTCGCATCGATTTTTGATGTGCGATGGTGCAGTCGTCAACCACATGCGACTATAATCAGCTGTTCTAAACTTCCTCATTGGAAGTCACGAAAAAGCGGTGGGTTTTTCGAGAAGTTGTTGATCGTGTAGTTACCAAAGAGTCTTTCGTCTTTTTGTAAGTGTTATTGAAGCGTTTGGCCTAGTAGATTGTATATCAGCATACCCTTCCAGGCTCTGAAGAAGGCGATACTGCCGAAACGTCAGCTAGCGTTGTATTGTATTGTGTTTTCTTTATGGAAATGTATGCTGTTTAAAAACCTCGCGATTGCTGAACAAGAAAACGATACATTCAAAAGTAAAAATATTTACGCCTTCTGTAATCAAGTAGGCGAAAATCTTTACTAACTCATAGCTACACAAAGATGTCCGTTTCCATGATATCCTGGATTGCACCGGCATTGCCATCCACCAGTCTGTGGAGACTGGACGCAGTGAGCATTCGACGAGCAGTTTGAGCAGCGAGGTGTCTCTGAATATGTGAATCAAATAAAAATTTTAACCAATTAATGGAATAGTTGCTTTACGAAGTATGAGAACACACCTAGCAAGTCACATCGATGTGTTCCGTCACCCACTGTTCCAGGTTTACAAATACAAACATATGTGTTGGAACCACTGTTGTAGACACATTGAGCGTTTGCATGACAGAGTCGAGGCTCCTCTTGGCAGGTTTGGGGCCTAGCGTGAGGAATACAGTGCACACCGTCTCCGGTGAATCCTAGATATTCAAAAACGACTTGACAACGATTTGGGATCTAGAAAGTCCTACAACAAGTGACAGATTTTCAATCGCCGTTCAACTTTTTCTTGATAATATATCAGACAAGCCCTGATCATGCTCGAACGCTATCGCAGAAAAATTATTTTGTAGTCATATGGCCATGATCAAAAGAAAACATACTGAAAGCGATGACGAAGAAATGTTTAAAAAAAGCTCAGACCTCTAACACACTTGCAAACATATGCTCGTTCCACTTCTTCATAAATACACTCAGCATTTTGAGCACATGCGGAAGGATCAGCTGGATTGCACCGATCTGGAAAGGAAACGGATTTGACAACAACTGAAAGAGACTAATGGAAACTCTAGGAAAGCTGGGGATCGATCTTTGACCAAACAGACATTTACAATAGAAATGTGTCAGCTTTTAGTCGTTTTTTGGTGAAGTGTCCATTCGCTATAGAACCTTCCATCTTGCTACTTTGCCAAAGTCGTTTGGAGTTGTTGGAAAGGAAGACACGAACAATTGGAAAAACCAAAGTGTTCTATACCTTTGAGGGACATTCGTGAAATGCCTTCTTTTCTCGTCAAATACTTTGGCAAATGACAGTGCTTATTTCTATTTATCAAAGGAAAAGGGATCAAAGTTAAGAAAGTTTTGAATTTTTATTGAAATCATCTACAATGAGAGAATGCCTTGACCACCTGCCACAACACAATGTTGAATGCCATCTCCTCGGTATCCGGGAAGACATTCACAAACGTATTTGGAATCGCTGCCGACCACACAATGGCCGTACTGATGACAATCAGTCGAATCACGACACTGCTTTGGATAAGCTAAAAAAGAGAGTTGTTAAAGTAGTATTTGCTATGGAATCGGCAAAAATGTTACGACTCAGGCAAGTTTTCTTGGAAAACACAGCCTACTATTTTAAAGGCCTTCGCCTGAAAGCTTTACAATTTCGTTCACCCCATCTTCACTGATGGAGATGCTGTTTATTTCTGTTAGAAAGCTCTATTCCTAGTAAATAATTCTTCTATCGCCAATATTTTATCATACAATGCAAATTTTCCATTTATTATCATTAGAAAACACACAAAAAGTTCTATCAGGAGCGCGTTTTTGACAATATGCAATGATTTCAATGTCCCTCAAGAAGAAATCCGGCCTTCCAATTTCAAAGACGATACTGTAGCTCGCTGTATATTTTACTGAATGAAATAAAAAGTGATAGAATTCACAGGTCTTTGCCAACAAGAAAAAGACATCTTGTCCTACCGTATTTGTCATCTCGTAGAAATTTGCACTTTGATCAGCAAAGCCATTGGGTACATGGGATTTTGGGAAGTATGGCGCGATAGCGTCTCCTAAGGAACTTCAAAATACTTCGCTAGGGTCTCAATTCATTGAAAACTTGGATTCTAAACAACTTCACAATTATAGGAACATTTTCCAAAAACTACACATCTATAACCCTGGAATGATATGATACGGCTTCTTCCATATGTTCGGCAAGCTATCAACACCTCAAGTGCTCGAGGTAACAAAAAATTCTGACAATTTTATGCAGCAAATGAATTTCCAAGTGGTGGAAAAACTCGAAGAGCCACGTAACCTGTCTCCTAATGAGCTAAAGGACAAAGTACTGGACGCTAATCAATCCCTGAGGCATGCATTAGGTTTCATTATCACATGTCGCTCAAGTTGCATTAGACAGAATGCATCTGATGCGAAAATAATTGAGTTTCAACTTAAACCAACAACTGTCCACGTCCGTATTAAATCTTATTGGTGGGAATAACAACTGTTGAAATCTACAGATCTTGCCTATAACGGACTAGTTTTCTTATTCTACAAAAACGAAACTCTGATTTACTACGGTTTACGGTATGTCCTTTTTTCCACTGCTTGCGTCAAGCCTCATACCTAGAGCACCAAAGAGAATGAACCTCGGAATTACGTCCATTAAAACAAAATTGTTTCCAGCTTACTAATGGAAGAAGATACAAAACGGCGTTTCAGAATGTACCCTTTATAAAAATAATGATGCTGAAATATTTGCAGAACTCCGGAGAGCTGCTGTTTGCGCTGAGGACCGAACACGATATTAACCTTTCCGGAGACTAATGCGTTCATTACCACATGATGCAAATCCTTCGTTTCGCCTTTTTCTTATTGATCTGGGTGCACAAATTGGCATTGAACTAAATTTTTTTCTTAGCGGATTTGAATGATGCGGTGGTGAACGCGTTAGCCGCGGAACGGTTAATACCGTGTTCGGCCTCCAGCGAAGACAGCAGCTCTCCGGAGTTCTCCAAATATCTCAGCATCATTACCGTTATATTTCACATAATATCCTGCCACGTAGGCAGTAAATAAAAAGTGACGACATTGTATCTTTTGTGTTTGCAGATACCGAGCTTGGGTTGGAAATGTTGAAACTCAGTTTTCGGTTTCTTGAAAATATCTTTATAAGATAAACACATTTATATAGTCGACTAAACAGAACAAAGCTCTATAAGTCTATGTAGTTGAAAACTTCTCAAGCCCTACAACAATCAAGAAATCTCGTCTGTTGTTGGAATTCGCCTCACACCGCTGTGTTAAGCTGTTAAGCATCGTATAGATGATTACTGGTATGTGGGGCCTATACAATGACTAGTGTGCTCCTATCGACGTTATAGATCAGCATTCTTATGATCCCGAGCAAATCTGACACCAACTTGTGAACCATAGATATGTGGAGGTTTCATGCGTTTTGGGATTAAATCGATGATCATTGTGTATGTTCCGGTGTATTTCTTATCACTACGCCTCACGTGCTCTCGTGCCTGCTTTTTTACTACATAGAAATTCCACTGCCTTAAAAAGATGATATACGTCATAGACAAAAGGTACATTCCTATTTCATACCTTGTTCTCCTTCCCGCGGTGATGATCCGCTATGAATTTTCACACAAGTCATTCCATCACCGGCATAACCATCATGGCATTCGCAACGATAAATCCTTGGAAAATACTTGCATATTGACTAAATCGCTTTCACGGCGTGTCAGAATATTAAAGCAAAATTCATAAGCAAACAAAAAAAGGTATTTTGAAAAAAATTGAACTATATTTAATAGTACGATGTTCAAACTCGATAGCTCCGCTCTTGAAGCATTCGATAGCCCTAATACGACGCCGTTACTCGGAATGAACACCAATAAAAAATAAAAGGGCAAAGCTCTTGGCGGTGATCAATCCGTGAGGGATGCGCCATGCGTTCGACTTCATTAAGCACCGTTTGGTGTGACTGAATGCATGTCTGGCCATTACAATGACTCGCGGTGGCCTACCGATGTATCGAGCCAGTGCTGCTACCCTCCCAAACAAGTCTGCTACCAATCTGCTGACCCTGAAGGGATGGAAGGCTTGGTGGGTCATGGACGCAGGGATCGATTCCACGTGTGTTGCATGGCGCCTGCAAGCGATTTAAGTGAATTGCAATTCTGTTTCCCGTAGTATGCGCGCGAATCCATTCACCGTACATGATAATCTTTGTCGTGATGTCGGCGTGTTGGGAATCCTCCTATCAGTGAGCATTGAATCTGTAAGACTTTTTCTACAACCATCAAGAAAAGAAGTAGCATTAAGAACGTACACGACGGTAATATGCCAACAAAAGGACGATACGTCATTGAAATCTATTTGGGCGTATCGATCCGGTGACAATACATTACTTTTTACTTGGATAATTGGACGGTCCGTCTTCACGAGCTGTGCCTACCCCAGCACATATGCCAATTCGTTCCTTTCTCTCGCAATCGTAGTCCATGGTGGTGGTCTTGTTCAAGAATGGCAGCGCTTGCAGGTCTCAAACCGCGATCTGTAAAACAACTGCAGCTGCGGGTACAGCTGATTAACTTTGTTTACGAACACGTCCGCCCAACGGTCGTCTAAGGGGACGTTTGTATTCTCTTGGAGTCCACTCTACTGTTCTATTCGTCCATCTGTCGTCGGCTCTTCTCATTATGTGATCGACCCATCTATGTTTCGTTGTCGATATATATTCTCTTGGATCTCGAAGATGTGACAGATTTCGAAGGCCAGAGTTTCGCATACCAGCAACATATTGAGAGTGCCGACTATATTTCAAACGACATCGCTCAAGCGCTCTGTGAGTAGTGCGAAGCATTCTTGACGTATTCAATGTTTTTCATCAATAAGCAGACACGAGGTTGTTAATATAGAATTTATTAGAACACAATTGCTGACGTTTCG